CCGCTCCCAAAGGCGGGTGAGAGCCCTGTGCCTCCCCTCGTGACTGCCATAAACATTACACCAAGGCCATTAATGTTTAATGAGGTTTGTCTCCCAATTAACGCGCTTTCCCGTGGGTACCCACTCCCAGAGCGAGGCACCCGCCGGACCGCGCGCCACGGCCATGGGTGACGGTAAGGGCAGACACCTCCACGGGAGCATCTCTGTGCCAGGAGCAGGGCTGGTCCCTCCTGCCACACAGCCTGCGTGGGGAAACTCCTGCAGGATCCGGGGGGAGAGGTGGGGATGGATCCTCAGAGCTCGGAGCGCCCGGCACATTCGTGTGAGCTGCGGTTTGGCTTCTCAGGGGGATTTCTCCTTCCAAGCAGCTCCTGGCACCGGGATGTGCAGTCAGGTAAGGTGGCTGGAGTGGTGACATGCAGCTGTCAGATGGATGAGCCTGCTGGCACGGAGTGAGACTTCTGTGATGCATCCCAGTGTGAGCCTGAAGGGTTGTTGGGGCTGTGGGAGTGGAGCTGTGGAGTCCTGCAGCACTTCCCAAGGGAGATGGAGCTGGATCCCTGTCTGCAGCTTCACCTGGAGTCGAAGGCTCCTGTGCATCCTGCAAATGCAGCCTGCAAGAGCATCCTGTGAACGTACCACGGATGTTAAACTTCCTGGGATGAAATGCAGGAGTTTGGGAAACACCTGCCATCTCAGCCCGTAGTGACTCCCATTTGCTGCTCTCATTCCTGGTCTCTCCCACCTCCACGCTGTGAGCCCAGTGCCCAGGACCTGACTCTTACTGGGATTTGTCCTCTTTTCCAGAGCAAGTGCCCGAGCAGGGCCCGGACAGGTTCAGCTACGGTGAGTGTGTGCCCTGGGCAGCCTGGGGGCTGTGGGCAGGGGGACAGTCCCCTGTGATGCTGCTGTGGGCTCAGCCCCATCCCTGGCTGGGCTGACTCCTCTTGGCTCTCCTCCTCCCCAGACTATGACACCATCCGCAATGGGGGGCTGATCTTCGCTGTCGTGGCTTTTGTGATTGGGCTCCTCATCATCCTCAGTAAGTGCCTGGGTGGGCTGGACACTCCCTCAGCTCTGCTCATTGTGCATGGCCCTTGTTCTGCTCACTGCCTTCCTCTGACTCTGAGCAGGGCTGGGGGGCACCAACCCTGCCCCACCGCGCCCTGGGTGGGCATCGCCTGCCCCCAGGGCTGCCTGGGAACGTTCCATCCAGGCACACTCCCAAAGAGAGTGAGTTGGGAAGGAGACCACATAAATATTTAGCCTTCCCCTGCCAGCACCAAGGCTTCAGAGGGAAGGTCACTCCTTAAAATAGCAGAGAAAACTGACATTTCCAGAGAGAGAAAACAGTGTTCCCAGAGCTCTTGGCAGCCCCCAGAGTGACCCAGGGCTGGGTGTGCAGGGCACCCTGTGACCCTGCCCAGGTGTTCTGGCACTGCTCCATGGGGCTAGGGCAGCCACAGTGTCACGGATGGTGTCCAGTAATTTTAGGGAGGAAAATATGAAAACCAACAGTATTTGCAATCATGGGACAGCTTAGAAAACAGACATCCAAGTGGGTGCTCATGGCCGGGCAGTGCCAGGGCTGCAGGGGTGGGTGGGATGGGGCAGGGGGGATGCTCAGCCCCAGGGTCCTCAGCCACTCCTCTTGCCCCCAGGCCAGCGGTTCC